GTACCACTGTGTCTTGAATACTGTGTACAATTCTAGTTCAGAATATGAACTGAGAAAAGTGCAAAAAATTTAGTGGACTGAGCACTGAATATTTTTAAATTGCTTAATGGCAGAAAGGCTGAGTGGCATATGATTGCTGTCTGTGCATAGATTACATCCAGGTTAGCACCCTCATGAAGCAGAGAGTGATTTTAAGCCATAGGAAATTGCTAGCCCAGAAAGAGATGGATATAAACATAAATGGAATTAAGGAGGAAGTCAGGATGTTTCTAAGCATTGGAACATAATGGTTCTGGACCTGTCTCTCTGCAGGAGCTGTGGGTAGAAAAGGCCAACAAATTTGAAAATTGAATATTTGAACACACCTGTGGGGTGAGGTTTTCTGCAGAGAAGGCTGAACTCAGTGGCTCAGACCATCCCTTCCAGACATATGTCCACAAAAGATTAGAGACCAGGGATAAATGGCAAGATCAACTTTATTTTGGGGAAAAGCCTAATGAGAAATTATCATGGGTTTTACATAAGAAATCATTAAATCCAGGGAAATGCAGAATAGCTAAACACAACAGAAAATCCTGACTGTTGGTATAGCTTATTTATTTTTACAATACTGACTATTTAAGCATGCTGTTTCATAGGCTGCATTTTGAAAGGTTCATTAGGAATATGACTCCTCCTCCAAATTAAAACCTGATCCTATGATCCCAAGGCACCAAAAACCCCACCTCATTACAGTAACTGGAAGCTTCACCTGTGGCTGCACAAATAATGTCACAAAGTTACCTCAAAATTATGCAGTAAGTTGAATGTTTTCTGACAAAATTAACACTTTAACATTAGCATTTAACACTTGTTTTGATTTGAGAGTAAAAGAAGTATGTCATGTGCATTTTTCTTAAAGAAGGATCTATTCCTATGGTATTTTAAAAAGAAAGGTGGAAGAACTACAGGGTACAAAATATAAAAATAGACCAAAAATAAGGGTGGATGTGGGGTGGGGTGTTTTGTTTGGTAAATTTGGTCTGTATTTTTTTAAGAACTAAAATTCCTCTCCTCTTTTCTCTGCAAAAAGAAACTGGATAAAATGGTATGGGTCTGGATATGTATAGGAAGTTTTAATCATTCTGGATTTCTTAAAATTCTCTAGTCTTCACCCTGAGAAGGCTTGTATAAAATGCGAGTGGGCCATTCTAGCACACAAAATATGCTTATGTCTGCAAAATACCTCCTTCCTCTCCTACTGTGCTTTGTTCCCAGTAAATGTACTGGGAACTTTTTTTGGAATGATATAGAAATACAGACTTATATTCACATATGCATACATGAATACATAGCAGAATTTAAAATACTTTACAAGTCTGAGTTTATGTCTAAACACCTCACAGACCAGTCTAGAATATGGCTTTGATACAGATTTTTCATAATAATGTTGTTGCTGGTTTTGTTTTGTATAGTGGAACAGTGTACACATATTTCAAACTTGCCTACAGGATCAGTCTGACCATGGCTTCAATTTGAAGTTCAAGACCAGCACTTCCATGCCACCTGAAAAAATCAAGTCAGGAGAACTCCTTTAAGTTTTTGAAGTGTAGCATCAGAATGCATATCTGAACTGAACCAGTTATCTTTATTACATATGTCCATCACAAATATACCTGCAATAACTGATCCACCCAGCAAGCATTTGATAGCCCAGCAAGCTTTTCATAAGTGAAGATTTTAAAGATAGGACTTGGATCAGTAAATAAACCACCAGATTTATTAAAGCATTAGAAAGAGGGCCTGACAGCCTTTGTGAAAATATTAGCAATAATGCATCCATCAACTTGTATATGTTTACTTTCTGTTTAATTTTGTCTGTGGAAGGAAAAATGTTTGCACCTTTCACATGTAATTTTATAGCCCTATTTTATTAATAATTTAAACTGCTAAGACTTTATTCAGGTATTGTTTATTACATTGTAAGAAGGCAGTAGAATTGCATTTTTATAATGTAGTTTTCAAAATCTCTGTATAAAAGACTCTAGGAAGCATAAACATACTGACCTGCAAAGTAGGTCCTTTGAGGAGAAAATGTGATACATTAAATGTACTAGCAGTATTATACAATATCATCACCTAGAATACTTATTCTACCAGTAATATAACAGATAAGTACAACTGAAGAGAACACTAGTAATTGAAATTTGTTGCTAAATATGCAGCTACTGTGGTTTTGTCTGTAATGTAAAAGGCTTGATGGTTTGCTTTTATTAGGATAGAACTGAAGAAACTGCTGGGTATTTCTTTACTCTAGACATCAAGAGGTCCTTTGGTCAGGCTTTTTAGTGAATCCTAAGGAAAAGTGTGGCTCAACTGCATTGAGGCAACCAATTTATTTAATACACTGGATATGTTGCAGAAAACTCCACTTCATCAGCATGAACACTGCTCACTCAATAGTACAAGGAAATGTCAAAGCAGGAAATTTTACCACAGGGCCAACTTTAAATAGTAACTACTTGTGTAATAATCTAAAAGCAACATTGACACAAGTTTAACTTCATTTGTGATAATGGAAGATAACTGCTTTCAATTTTGTGGTAGTGTTAAATATGTTTGTTTGGTTGGGGTTTTTCTTTGTCACAGTACCAGATGTATGGCAACAATAACTGTTTATTAATGTATCCTTCTCATCCTTTTGCCATAATTTGGTTTAACTTTCAGGGACATGGCATAAATCTGTGCTTAGGATTCTTATAAACTCTCTCTTTGGCCATTTGCTTTAGTCTCAAAAAGCACATTTTCTGTATTCTCTTTGTTGAGAAACCATTAGCTACCATCAGAGTGAGCAGCTCAGAGACAATATGAAAAATTACATTCAGCAAATAGACGAATTTTTTTTTAATTAAATCTATTTAGTTTATCTTGCACTAGAGCATCAAAATCTTGAAAGGGCTTTGAGTCTCACTCATAAGAGAAGAGGGAAATAATTATTCTTCTGTAGATAGGTGGTAGTTTTCCCATTGCTGAAGTATGCAAAATAAACACATTTACAGATTTCAGGAACTATCCAAATATGACTCTAAGAAATATTTCCATTAACAGAAGAGTTCTGCCTCAACTTTCTCAGTAGGTCAGTCTCCCAATGTGAACTGCATGCATATTGGAGTTTTGCTCCCACTCAAAATCCTGCTCTGAGTTCCAATCTGTTCTCATTTGATTTGCAGTAATGTAGTAACCTGGAACCCTCTTTTAAATTTGGTTGATACTAATCATGAGTTCTAAAACTACTTGGAGAAATTATGCCAGGCAGACAGAAAGACAACTGCAGGTTGCAAAATTACATACATTTTCTGTTCTCAGGATAAAGGCCGAAACATGCATGTGGCAAGATAATTATTTTGTAATTCTCTCTTCAAAATTGGTAATGTGCTTCTTTTAGATGTCTTCTCTATCTCCTGTATGAGTTCTAGGTGGATATATATTGCTATATATTATATAGAATACTACATTTTCTACATTCTAATGTTTTACTACAAAACTTCATAGATGATAACATACCTGAACAAAAACTTGGCTCCACATCAGTAGGTGAGTGTACAATTAAAGACAAACTTTCCAAGTGTGCAATCAGGCCACACTCATTTGGTGACTTCCAGACTATCAGTGTCCATGATCAGATCACTGCTTTGTTCTGAATCCTCTTCTCTCTGTACTTTCATACTTATCTCCTGTTGATTAATAGCATTTTATGAACTAATAATAAACTTAAGGTAGGAAACAAGGATTAAGAAATAGTTTTAGAGTTTTCTAAAGGATGAAGTCATCAACATCTAAAAAAGGGCTGCAAATGCAAGGACCATGGAGTTGACAAAGTGTGCAGATGGTGCAAAGGTATTCACAGCAATCAACTGGAAATCTGACTGAGAAAGGTCACTGAAGTTTTTAAAAGATGAATTATAAAATGACAAAATAGTCAGTTTGGTATATGTGAAGCAGTGTGTATAGGGAAGCTAACCCTATCATCTAGAAACAGTAGTTACTGTTATCTTTTGCCAATCACAAATGGTCTCTTGACAGATTCTGGAGCTCAGGAGAAGACAAAAGTCAAACAGAATGATCAGAAGGCATTGGAAAAGGAGCACAAAACAAACCAGTCATCGTAATTCCATATAATCCCTAAACTCACTGTACACCTTAATCATTGCATGAAATTGTGGTCATGCAATAGTATTAGTAAGAATTTAGAAGAACGAATGAAATTCAACAAGGACACTATTATGGAGTGGCTTTAGCATACAAAGCAAATAGGCAAACTTTTCAAAATAGTCAAAGAAGAATACTGAAGTATATTAATAGGGTATATAATTTTGCAGAAAAAGTGAATAGGGTGCTTATTTTTTTCCTCACAATACAAGAATCAGGCATTGGCTAGAGGAAAAAAAGGAAATACTGTTTCAGACAATACATAATTAAGAAGCGGAACATCCTGTCCAAGAAAGCACAAAGTGAAAAACATAAAAAATGATTTTTCCAGTTCCTTAGTGGAGGGCAGGCTCCGGGATGCTATCGGACACGCAGGGTGGCTCCGGGGTCAGGGGGTTGTTTGTTCCCGTGCTGGGACAGGCTGCCAGGCTGGCCGGCTCTCCGGGCATGCACTGGTTACCAGCAAAGGCCGCCTGGCCTCTCCCAGCAGCGCCTTTAACACTGCCGAGCATTCCCGGCTCCCGAGACCGATCGGGCCTTCTGTCCCGGGAGCTTCATGAGGGATGAGGGCGGTGGGAAGGACGGGCTGGCTCTGGAAACTGCTCCCGCCTCTTCCCGCAGCACTTCCCTGCTCCAGTCCCGCAGTGCGGCGGCGTAAGGCGCACAATCCGCGGAGTCCCACAAAAAGCCGCCCGGCCACAGCAGCGACCCCAGCGCCGAGCCCTCCTTCCCCCAGCCGCCATCTTGGGGCCGGGCGGAAGAACTACCGCTCCCAGCGCGCTCGGCGCCGCGGCGCCATCTTGCCGCCGGCAGCGCGGGCGGGGGGCGGCGGCGCCGGGACATGGCGCTGTTCCCGGCCTTCGCCGGGGCCGCCCAGCCAGGGGAGCCCCCCGCCGGCAGCTCCGAGGGCTCCACGAGAGGTAAAGTCCTGGGAGAACCGCCTTTCCCCTAACAGCTCTCCAGCGGCCCCCGGCACCCGCCACCGGCCCCCTCCGGCCGTGTTTGGCCCCGCCGTGTAGCGGCGGCGTGGGCGGTGCTGCCACCGGGCCCGGGCCCATCGCCCCCAGAGGCTGCGGAGCGCGGCACGGGGGCTTTGGGTTTATCGTTAGTTTTGTTATTTTCTTTTTCTTTTCTTTTTATTTTTTTTTTTTTTTTTCTCCGCTAGCTTTGGGTGTCTTGAAAAGTGTTTTTTAATTCCTTGCTTATTAAGCCACATCATAGTTGGAAAGGACTTTCTTGGAAGGTTACAAGTGAGGTTGTGATTCATTGTATCACATTGACTGTTGATGTCTAGCGAGTTATACTTTTAATAAAATAAATAATAATATTAAAGTAAATAACACTTCCTGGTGTAATGCCAAGCGGTGAAGTAGGTACTAAGTTTATTTATTCTGCTGAATGGGATTTGAACTAACCCTTCCTTTTGCTTGCCACCCTTAAATCTTCCCATTCCCTGGACACCACAGCAAAGGGAAACCAAAGAATTATTTCCCTAGGCTCCATTTCTTGTGTGTTTGGTCCAGTCGTATGGTGCATTAGCTTTTTGTTCTAGCCAGTTCTGCATTACCCCTGATGGCATAGCAGTGGTTGATACTCACTCTGCCTGTACAGAGATGTTCTAGCTGCAGTCAGGATCCTTTCTGACATTTGGTGTAGGGAGTAGTGGACATAATAAGATGCCAAACTATAGTTTGTAGGAATAGAAGAACTGCTCTGTCAGGCAGAGATACAGTAAAATTTTCTGGTAATAAGACTTCGGTTATATTTTAAAACTTTAGGAATTTAGCCTTTAAGTTTGTTACAGTAGCCTATGTTGCTTCAGGCCACCTTCCACTGTCTGGAAGATCAGATTATACAGAAAAAGGTGTAAGACTGACTTTTGGATCCAGATTTCAGTTGTTAGCACTGCATATGACTTACATTTTGGTATACTGGAAGCTTTTTCTGTGAGAATTATTGACAAACCTGGAACATAATTTGTTTGGTTTATGTTTTAATAAATATTGTACTTTGTTGTTGACAACGACATTTTAATGTGAGTTATAAAAATTAAATATTAACTCAGAACCACATTTATGGCAGTGTATATCAAATTTCACACATTCAGCTTGTGAGAACTTGAGAACTTGACAGGCATCTGTCTCTCTGATAGATGGTTCTCTGCTCAGACCTGATGTGAAGCCAAAGTGCATCATAATACAGAGATCCCAGAGTATTTTGATTTTAATGTTAAGTAAAATTAAGGTGCTTTTAGCAGACATTTAGGACTGTTTCATAGCTTTACTGTAAAAGTTGAAGTAATAATGTATATATGTTGGTCATGTTTCATGCAGCAACCACTCAGTTTCATACTTCTAAAAACTTTCCTAAACCATTTCTGAAGTGGAAGTGCTGTTTGAAACAGAAACAGAAGTGGTGCTTTTGCTTCCTATGCTGCTCAGTTGCTGAGTTGTAGCAGCCACCAGGGTGCTGCAATTTTCTATATGCTTTGATACAAGCATATGTTGTTGTCAAGCTTAATTAGTGTTTGGTAGAAGATAAATTGTGAATGTATGTGTAGCCATGAAGAGAGCAGTGGTGATAAGTAACCCTGCTGACCTTAGTAAGCATTATTTGCATATGAACTATGCTGTAGGTCAGACAATGCAGTGAATTTTGCTGAAAGCAGATTTTCAGGATCCTGAGAGGCATCAAAAGACTTCATGTAACTCTTAAAAATTGTCTCTGTAGACATGCACTGTAAATTCTTAATTTTTCTTTCTGCTTGAGAAGGTATAAAGAGAATGTCATTCGATTGCTGCTGCTGTTGCTCATAAGCATGTAACAAGTACATGCATATTATTGAAAAATAGGTCTTTTATATCTCCTCTGCAAAAATGATAAACTTCTTAGACATTCCCCAAGAAGAAAGCCTAACAAGTGAAGAGATAGTGTTTTAAAGTTTGGAATGCATTGTGATGTTTGAAATGCTTGCATCCAGCTAACTGAACACTTGAGATTATTTGCAAGCAGTTTGAACTTGAATGTTGCATAATGGCAAAAATTGCTCATATCTTTCTGAGTATTAGGTCAGTTTGGTTAAATTCTTCAGAAGATACTGTACTTGGAGAATTCTGAGCTTCCCTGCTGTAGCCACAGAGGTGCATTGACTGTGCCACAGGGCTTGATTTTCACAGAGTGATTCTTCAATGCATTAAAGATGCAGTTTGATCTTACCTGCTCAGGTAGAACCAAGCTCCAGGCACAGGCTGGGAAATGGTGCATGGTGGTGTTCTGCAGCATATTGGTTTTGGCTGGACATGTGGAGTGTGTTTTGGTCTTGACAGTGCCATGAATTGTGGATTCTCCTATGCACAGAGATGGAGGCTGAAGAGCCAGGGAGGTGATCACTCCTCATGGGGCCTTTCTCAATGGGGATGGACTCGTGGGAAGCACACACTGTAGCTTTGCTTTATTTTTTGTGTTTCTTGATGTGTTTAATTTAGGTTAACAAACTGTTTTGCAGCCTACTCTGCTTTAAATCCTTTTGTGGACAACAGCTCAGGGACATAAGACAGAAGAAAGCTTTTCATACCAAAATTCTGTTTCTGAAATAAATACTTTGAAAGGAGGAGAGGTATATGGCTTGATAGACAGCGAGTTCTTGTTGTTTAAGGAGTAGAGGTCAGTGTAGTCAAGAGCACAAAGACAAGAATGTGACAGGAAGAAAAAAAAAAGTGATTGTAAAGAGCCTGGAGGAGAGGCAGGGAGACCAAATTTGTTCCTCATGTTATCTCTGTCAGTGTGGCACTGGAGGGACTGCTTTTAAGTTCTGTATTTATGCAAAACAACTTTTGTTGTTAAATAGCAAAGAAATTTCACATGCTTAAAGGAATTCTAGATATGAAAATCCTGTGAAAATCATTATAAAACTTGTAATATCTGTAAAATTGTGACAAAAAGTTTCTCTTCCATGTTCTGTCCATGTCTGATCTTATCTAGTGACTTAGATGCAGAATGCTTAATGCTGACTAGTGTATCCAAATTAGCATCAAATAGCTTTCTTTCACACTGTTGAAAGGTCTAATGATATTTCAGTGGTTAGAGAACTGAGAATCCAGTGCCATGTTTTAGCCATGTATAAAACACTTGAGTAGTCTTCTCAGTAATGGATGTGCCTATCAATAAAACTGTGTTAAAAATATTTTCCACACAGTCAGTAAAGTACACTTTTGTTAGTTTGTATAAGCGTTATCACATTCATTAACTATACCTTTTGTTTTATTAGGCTTTTCTGTAATTTTTAAATTTCATTTTTAAAATATGTAACTAATTCTATTTTATATTGTATATAGAAATTAATGTGTAATCAATATATAGTAGTAAATATATTATGATACAGTAAACGATCTTATATAACAAATTTTTACAGTCTATAAATATATAAAGTTAGAACCTTTAAATCGTAAAAATGAATGTTAGATAGATTCTTTTTTTATGTATAGAGCTGGGTTTTAAACATGGAGTCTGCTTTCAGTTTGAGCTAAAATGAAATTTCATTGAGTGCTTTCCAGTATGCTCAGTTATTGCACATGACTTAGTGACATTTACTGTGAATTTAACTGTCTGCTGACTAGATTAACCCCCAAATTTAAAAAGCATGGCAACCTAATTTGTATTGATCTCACACTTTGTTTTACCTACAGAGTTAGACTGGCTTAGTAACCCAAGCTTCTCTGCAGAAGATGCACTGTTACTGCACCAGCGCTCTACAGAAGTTGCCAATCTCATTCCTGAAAAATCACCATTAATAAGGTAGAATGTGCTTCAATGTCTTTTGAAATAGCTTCTTTCTTTTGTCCTGCTTATCTTTTGTTATATGAGACCAAATTCAGAAGCTAAAAGCTGCTTTTCATCCTATTGTTCAGTATTTAAAAATGCCTGAACTGAGTCACATGTAAAAGAATGAATAACGCTTCCATGTCTTTTAACTTAAAATAATGAGAAATTGTGTGTATGCAATTACATTCTTATTTTCTTTTTCTCAGAGCTGCATTTAAATGATTGTTATTTTGGAATGGAGAGGGAACTGAGCAATCATCATTCTTTATTAGCTTTTGAATGTCTAAAGTGACCCTTGAAATAATGTAAAGATTAAGCATCATCTTGTGCCTTCTCTGGGGAAACCAGAGAAATCAGCCATTTCACTGTTGAGTTTTTTACTTTTTGAAAAACAGTTGCTGATGTGAACTAATGAAATATTACATATATGAAGTTGAGTGTGGCTGTAGAGCATGCTGGTCAGCTGAAGTGGGTGATTATATGTATCCTTTTGCAGAAATGAGCTTTAAGCAGCCATCTGCTGAAGATCTGGTTTTAATATGTTCACTGGGCTGGGTGCTTGGCTTATCTACACTGTAACTAGCACTCAACAGGGAATTCAGTCAGGTTGTAGTTGTCAAGTTCAAAACCTTAGTCTCTCTTAATTTGATACAAGCTCCCTTGTCTATGCTGATTGTTGGTGGTCATGATAGAGAATATCTTTATAATACCAAGCACATCTTTTTCCATACTTAGTCTTGCATTTACATGCATTGTGTGTTTGAAATGCAATCAATGCTTTGTTTATCAGTCATATACTCTGCTGCGTTTCTTCAAATCTTTTTAGGACTTTCATGTCATAAAGTTAAGGATTTTGCAAGTTGCCATCAGATAGAATGACATAATAAATCCACCATATTAATTTTATCTTTGAAAAGGACTTTGTCAAAAAATAGCGTGCAGAAAAATGTTTGGGTGTTTGTTGTTTGGGGGTTGTTTTGCCTATTACTTGGGTACTTGCTTTAATAAAAACTAATTGGTTACATCTCAGTTCAATAAAAAGTAATTGCTCCAACCTGGTAGGTGGTTTTGAGGGGGTTTGCTTTGTTTGGTTTGCAGAAATGTGCATGTTTGTTTTAAAGGTCTGCTAATGGTTCTTCTTTGGTTTCTTTTTCTTTAGAGTCCCTAAAAAAATTCTGTCAGGGCTGTTGCTTGAGAAGCCTTATTTCTGAAATACAATATTTTCTTTTATTGACATTAGGAATAATGAGAGTTGTCAGTCCTTTTTTTCATTGAAAGACTGCAGAAAAAAAAGTTTTAAAAGAGTTTCTGCTTTTATTAAGGGTTAGAGAAGACTTCCATTATTCATTTGATTATTAAGTGTTGGAGTTTTTGTGGAATGTACAATAATATACACATATTTTGCCAAAAGTATGTGTCCTTTGTGTGATCTCTCAATAACTCAGTTGTCTGTTCTACATAGTGTTATTTATTGCATTATACTGTGTTATATGATAACATTTGTTGAGTAGCCATCAAAAATTGTTTCTTGGTTGGTAGATTTCATTTTTTTAATCTGGAATCTTTGATTTTTTTTTTATCTGGAATTTGATACTTCTTATATAAATCATAAAAAAAAAAACAGGGGAAAAAATTCAGACTTTTTTCTTTTGCAGGGCACAGTGAAAGACTTCTCAGTCTTTTAACATGACCTAAGTTGTTTAGCAAAGTTAGGAAATTTTATCATTTCGGTCATCTTCTTTAATTTGGCAGTGTTAACAGATGGTTATTTATAGAGATCACACATCTAAATGCCTTGACAATTAGAACATTAAGACTGGCCGTCCGTAATTCCAGCAGCTGAAAAATGTAGTTGTGATTTAATGCAGATTTAGCTCCCTTTTGCTGTATATGTTACTGCTACCATCTCAAAAAAATAGAGGGAGAATAAAGGTAAAGAATAAAATGTTCTGAACTTTCTTACGGTGCTAGTCTGTAACAGTTTTACTGCTTAGCTGTATAGGTGTATATAAATGTATATACTTTTGTCCAAGCAGGACTTCTTCCAGATCTGAGTTGTCAGAGAAGAGTGATACAGATGAGAGTCTGAAACAGACAAGTAAGAAAAGGAAAAAGAAAAAGAAAAAGCATCACCACAGTAAGAAGACAAAAAAGAAAACCAAAGGGGATTCCAGTAGCAGTGAATCAGAGGTGGACACTAAGCACATCAAGGACAAAGGAAGTGGCAAAAGTAGTGAAAAGGAAGCAGCAGCAAAGTATGTAAATATTAACATTATGTAAGATGTAAATCCATTGTGTTCTTGTGCTTGTCTCTTCAACTGAAATTTTTACCATTGGTTGATCATCTTTTTCTAAGCTTTGTTTGACTAAACATGCATTCAAAGCAAGGGAAACAGATTTAGAGCTACTTGTTTAATCATATAAAAAACTGACTAAAATATTCAGTGAAGTGCTGTTGTACAGAACAAGGCATGGTATGGTGGTTATGAAATAAATCTTTGAAGTCATGTAGAGGCTTACATTCAGTTTTTGTAAGCATCTTGTATCCTTTCACTGATCTTTTGTGAGGGTTTGGAGAACAATTGCATTAAACATTCTTAATTATTAATATGTGGCTGGGTTTGCCTTGTAATGTAACATCCTCCTCACAGAATTTACATTTCCTTTTTTTTTCATTTTAAGACAAAATTTATTATTTAATACTTCTTTTATATCCATATATTTTGCTTCATACTTCCTACTTGTAATATTTCTGTATGAGTATTTGAGCAATTGAAATTGTTTTGTTAAGTCTTTGTTAATTCCAGGAGCTCTAAGGTACTGTGTAATTAGTGGAGATGTCATGTTTTTATAGAGCAAGAAAATAGGCAAGTAGTGACTATCAGGATGTTTGAGTAGCAAAAGAGGTCCTGTCAATGCAGCAAGTATCCAGGTTTGGCATACCTAGCTGTGCTTTCCTCAAGCTGCTGGGTTTTTAACATTTCAAGGTGGCCCTGTCCAGCTGGCAGTGAGTCACATTCTCCTGGTTGTCACCATGTTTGCTAGTTTGAGCAGCCATTTTGCCTCTCTTTGATTCCCTGGCTCCTGTGTTTTCTTTGGCATCAGCAGCTCTGGCTCTACTGTATAGCTACTCCTGTATAGAGTGAGGGTTTGGTGACATTAAGGAATTGTTGTTACAATTGATGCAGTCTGGGTAGTCTTTGAATTTCCCCCAATTTACTGCTTTTCTCAAGGGGGATTACTCAGGAGCTGAAAGTGCAGGTTGGTGGGCTGTGTCTATGCCTAGGTAACGTTGTTTCCCTGTGGAGGAGTGGCAGAGGTGCTGCAGGTGTTGTCTGATACCTCTAGCCCGACCTGGCTCCTCCTTTATGAGAACTTTTATTGGCTTGTGGTGGCTAAGGCTTCCTTGACTTGGGAAGGACAGTAAAAATTACTTGGGTGCTGAACCCATCTACTCAGTCCCATCACTCATGTGTGCTAGAAGGGTGCCTGGGCATGGTTCATAAGCTGTTTGCCAGGTTTGGGCCAGACAGCCAGTGCTTTGCCTGAATAAAAATGTTGAAGTTCTTTCATGGTGTCTTTTTTTACTACTTTCTAGAAATGTTTGATGCTGAGAGAATATTGAATTTTCAAAAGACTGGTTTTGAAACCTGAACCACAAAATTGCTCTGAATATGAAAAGTGTTGTGAAATTTTAGAAAACTTTTCAGGACTCTAAAACTAACATAATTGTACCATGAATTCAGATTGGAAATTCACAGTTATCTAGAGTTCAGAGGCAGGTGGCAATTCCCACTTAAGTTAATGTGTATAACTGTAATCCATAAACCACTTTGATACACACTGTTTTATCAAATGCATGGGTATAGTTACAGCTAGTCAATCCTCTTACAGGTTATCTTATTTTTCTTGATTGTAGCATCTTAGCAAGACAAGAGTAAATTTTGAAAGTAGTAATATATGGCTTTTGAATTATAGCATGCCAAGCTATTGATTAAATTGATTGGTTAAATCTGGTTATTACCTTTCATAATCATAAATTCAGTTTTTGGAAGTGCAAGGACTTTCAGTGTTTTGATTTGATGGTACTATTAGGGTATTTCTAATTGTTTTTTTCAAAGCGTGGACTGACTTTGCAAGAGTGGATCATGTACAATGACTTTGAGTAAGTTAAATTACTGTGAACTGCAGAAATTTAATGTGACTTGGGTTATGTGAATGCTGAATATGTGCACAAATGCTCAGAATATCCTCCTTCTCCTTGTCTGCAGTCTAGGTAAGAAAGCATCAGGTGTTACCAGCAGTCATTCCATTTGGCTTGATGATATCCAGGCCCCCAGAGCAGACACCTTCCGGATAGACAAGAAACCAGACCCTGCAAACTGGGCCTACAAATCCTTGTATCGTGGGGACATAGCAAGGTATGGAACGTTTGTATCTGTTTGTATCCAAGTCACTTGAGTCTGTCTGCAACTTTTTATGTAGAAGATGAGAAAAGATAACTGAGTAGCTTATTTCAAAATTTGACTTGGTGTTGAACCAGTGTCAGTGGCAAGTGATATCCCTAGGGGGTCTGTACTGCTACCTAATGTGTTCTTCATCAATGACATGGACAGCAGGATCAAGTGCACACTCAGTAAGTTCCACAACTCTAAACTGAGTAGTGCAGTTAGTGCTCCTGAAGGATGGGATGACATCCAGAGGGACCTGGGCAAGGATCTTGAGATTTAACAATGGCAAGGTGCTGCACCTGGCTCAGGGCATCAGCACAGGCTGGGGATGAACAGATCAGAGCAGCCCTGCCAAGAAGGACTTGGGGGTGCTGGGGGATGAGAGCAGTGATGAAAGCAACTGGATAAGGAGTCAGAAATATGTGCTGGCAGCCCAGAAAGCCAGTTGTATCCTGGGCTGCATCCAAAGCAGTGTGGCCAGCAAGACAAGGGATGGGATTCTGCCCCTCCACTCTGCCCTGGTGACACCCCACCTGAAGTGCTGTATCCAGCTCTGGAGTCCCCAGCACAGGAAGGACATCAACCTTTTGGAGGGAGTCTGGAGAATGGCCACCAGATTGATTAGAGAGAGATGGAGCACCTCTCCTTTGAGTAAAGGCTGAGAGAATTGGGGTTGTTCAGCCTGGAAAAGAGAAGGCTCCATCCAGTACCTGAGGGGAGCCTACAAGAAAGATGGAGAGGGTCTTTTTATGCTCTTTACTGAGAGGGTGGTGAGGCATTGGAATAGGCTGCTCAGACTTGGATGCCCCATCCCTAGAAGTGTTTGAGGCCAGGTTGGAAGGAGCTTTGAGCAGCCTGATCTAGTGGAGGGTGTCTGCCCATGGGGTTGGAATGAAATCATCTGTAAGGCCCCTTCCAACCCAAACCATTCTATAATTTTTGGACAAATGATTTAAAAGGCAAAAGATGGCATGAAATAATGGGTATAATGTGCATGATTTTCATTGTTCTTAAAAAACATTCTCTGTGTAGCAAACTACAGGGCCATCTGGAGGTGGCAGCATGGGGCAAATTCAAAGGTATGTTTTTGAGGTCAGAAATCTGAGGTTATGTTATAAATTGTCTTTTGGTCTCTATGGTTCCATTTCTGTGTCTGAAAGGAAAGTGAAGGTATTGGTTATTTCATACTAGATTTGTCAAGAGGTTTACTTGAGTAGTTTAATACCATTGTAAAAAAAAAAAAGCTACAGGTATTTTCTTAGAAAACAGATTTCACCCAGACATTGTAGTAAAATGTGTCTGTTCTATGCAATGCTACATTTCAAGTTAGTATAGATGAAACTGCACATTCAATATCCTTAGTGAGTTACTGGTGCTGTGATGACCCTTCAGAACATTTCCTTGCATTAATACAGAAGCCCATCCAAAGGAGCCTGCAGTTGGCTCATGCATTATGTATGTACACTTCTTGATTTTCTCAGGAAAATTGTTTACTGTATATACAATAATACTGTATATAATTATTTGTGGAGGAGGGAGAATTTATGGGTTATATTTTTTGTAGCTTTTTATGCCTTTGCAATAAAATTGCCTGGTTACAGTTTGTTTCAATTTTCTATCACCTTTGGATTGTTAGCTATTTTCTGAGATGAAAAGTATTATTTTAGTGTTGCATGTCACTATATCTGCCACTGAAATTACATTCTTTGATAATATTTAAAGATGGTATTTTCCTGTCTTAATCCATAGGATTATTGTGGCCTTTATGAACATGGCCTTTCTTTTTCTCTTCACACTGCTCTCCACTTTTTGGCATATGAAATGGACAGAGGCTTAGGGATGCAGAAGGAAATTGGTGGACTGAACAACTGGTGTCTCATTTTCAGTTTAAAATAGTCTAATCTAAGTAACCCTAAATAATGTCTGTTGTTCTTCCTCTGGGTTTGTCTATATGGTTTAAAATGATGGAAAGGAAAAAGGGTTTCTTCTGCTTGAGTATGATATATGTTGTTGAATTCAGAGGAAGCTTAGTGTGATAGTAAAAGTGTGATGGCAGTGAAGGAATTTGTAAGTTGAAGTCTTAAATAAGCAGAAATTTACCAAGTTCCTAAACTTTTGAAGGTATATGCATACTTTATTTGGGTTAATTTGAATGAAAGTATTTCTTCCAAAAGAAAGTATTTCTTTCAAAAAGGAGGTTTATTTTCTAATGTGTATTTTAGAAGATGTTTAATTCTATCTTCCCTTTCAAGGTATAAAAGGAAAGGAGAGTCCTGTCTTGGCATAGATGCAAAGAAACAGTGCATAACTTGGGACAGTTCTACATCAAAAAGGAAGCAGGCACAGAGTCGACCTGAGCGCTACTTTACAAAGAGCAATGTGAAGATGCTGAACACAGATGGGATTCTTGTCTGTAATAAAAATTCTCCATCTGATCCACCTGCTTTTATACCAGTTGCCCAAGTGGAAAGTGATGATTCTTCTGACACAACAGAAGTAAATCCTCTTGGGATTTATGATCCATCAACCACAGTGTGGCTACAAGGAAAAGGGTGCAAGAGTGCAGACAATGAGTCTGTAAATACACAGCAAACAGTTCAAGAGCCTGGGCTAAACATGAACTCCATTCTAATGACAAAAGTGGAAGAATATAACAAGAAAGTTAGAGAAAACCCAAGAGATATTAATGCCTGGATGGAATTTATTTCCTTTCAGGTATGTATTCTAACAGACCTTGTTGCTTATTATAAGTAATGAATACATGAACATTATATTGTAATTTCATTTGTTTAGAACTGGATGTATTTTCTTGGTGAAGAGTGAACTGTTAACTCATCTTCACAAATGTCAGCATTCTTGTTATTCTAGTGATCATTCTTCCTAAGGTTGTAATGGTGTTTCTTTTTGTTTTAGGATGAATTAATGAGAGGACCTAGCCCTTATGCCAGTAACGGAGAGCAGGAATTAAGGAGAAAATCACTCAAGTTAATCTTGGAAAAGAAACTGGCCATTTTAGAGAGGGCAATTGAAAGCAATCCAAGTAACGTTGATCTGAAACTTGCCAGGCTGAAGCTTTGCACAGAATTCTGGGAACCACCAGCCGTGATCAAAGAATGGCAGAAGCTAATTTTTTTACATCCCAATAATCCAGAGATGTGGAAGAAATACCTTCTGTTCTGTCAAAGTCAATTCACTACCTTTTCTGTTTCAAAGATCAACAGTCTCTATGGGAAATGTTTGACAACACTGGCAGCTGTACAGGATGGCAGCATGGTGTCCCACCCTCTGCTGCCTGGCACTGAAGAAGCTATGCTGGGTAAGGTTCCTTCTGCATATTATGGTCAGATTGGTCTTCATAGGAGCTAACTGCATTAGGAACAGATTTTCCTATGTATTGTATGAAGCTTTTCTTCTCTTCAAAATGCCTGGCATCCTGGTTTCTTAGCTGAGAATTAAAGCAGATATTCCAACCAAATATGGATATGGCAGATCCTTCTCTTCCCCAGGACAGTTTATGATACAACATCCATTAAAGTCTATTGTGCTGAGTGGTTTATAGCACAATGTCAAGACTGGAGAATCACAGCCAACAGCCAGGAGATGTGCTTTTATAAAAGGGAGACTTGTGAAAAGAAGAATTATCTCTTGTTCAGAAGTTTTACAATTGATTACTTTAATCCAGAAAAGAGGAGGAACATTACAAGTCTGATGTGAAAATTTGTTGAGAATCCCAGTGTGCAGATGGAGAATTCTAAGCTGTAATACCATGTGATCATGCCTTTTGTGTTTCTCCTATGCATGCATCTACCACTTTATAATTTATTATATAATTATCCTTGGAAGGAAAATAATTCAGATAGTTAGGATGCTGGAGTGGATTCAGGGAAGAAATGAGTTCATGCTCAGTTCTGGCATGGTATTTAAATTTATTTGGAGCTAAATGACTTAACTTATCCATTTCAGTTTTACTTCTCTACCTTGGCATGTCATTGTGATTATTGATTTGTGAATACTTTGAGGAGGGGAAAAGATTAGTGTCACCATGAGTATTTTTGACTTGGTTTTTTTTTAATTTTAAAATTAATTTTCAATCTAAGATAGTATTATGGAGGAGTCCTTTTTTTTTTCATGTGCATCATAGTCCAAGAAGCCTCTTGTTTTTATCCAGTCCTGTAATTCCTGTTGGAGCAATGATGTTATGCAATATCCAGTCTGGACTAACAGATAGAGATGCTGGGTTACCAAATTGGTTTCAGGTGTTCAGATCTCATACGGTCTTTGGCTGACTCATCTTGGATCAAGCACTGCAAAAAGTGCTGCAAAGGAAAAATGCTCTATTGGCCAGTGCATATTGTACAGCCTGATAGCTTCTAATTGCTTCTACTGTCTCTGATTTCCAATATTTCAGTCACTTTGTACACTCACCAAAATGAATGATACTCAGGACAAAGGTTTGATTCAGAATCTAGTTTTGGAAACAAGAAGGTTTTTCTTTCATTTTGTTTTCCTGCACATATTTGAGGGTATATGACTCATGAAGCAGTTTGTCAACTGCTATGAGGATTTTTTTAATAGAGTTCCTTTAGCAAGTTAACCAATACTAGATTGATGTTTTTCTAAATACTTTTTTGCTGGCAATATCCATAGATAGCTAAAAATGAAAATGAATTCAAATTCATGAATGGAACAGAACCACAAGTAACTTCTTGTTGTTCTGTCTTAAGCCTACAGTGATTTGTTTATGAATATTCTCAAGTATTTTATTTTTCCTCTTCAGAATTCAAATTATAGGATTAGAGAAATTTCACTGGGAGACTTCTTGATTTGAGATTTCTTCATTTGTGATTCAACTATGTAATTCTTGGGCTGACTTTTAATTGATATTGTACTTATTAGGAAGGTTACCAAATTGTTCATTAAGATAAATATACAGAATATTTCACAAACTTATTATGAGGTGAGTAGCACTGTAGATGTACATTAGGTTTATATCTTCAACCTTTGACCTTTCCTAGGGACAAAGTGTAAGAGCTCTAATTTTAAATAGTGGGGGACTGTGCCATCTAGTGTTCAGCTCAGTATGGAGTACTGTCTGCTGGGAAATAGGTGGGTGGTTTTTTTTAAGTATTGAAAAATTTTGAAAAGGTAAAGCTGAATTTAAAATAGTAGATCAGCCTTTACATAAATTTTGAGATAATAATTTATAATGCTTTAAATTTACTAGGAACTGTTAATGTAAAGAAGATTAATATAAAGTATTCTTAATTTTTGCTGTGTAAACAGAGTTTTGTTTTTCAAATCATTCCTCCTGGTTGGGGAGAAACAGCCTTATCTTCTAGGTCAGTTCAGCTGCAGAATTGTCTTAGCATCATGGACTGAATTAAGTATGTATTCATGCTCTTTTCAGTTTTTGCCACAACGAAATGCTGATCTTTGCATTTCATCAAATACCTTTTTTTTTCTAATGCAGAAAAATTTACACTGTAATTTATTTTTGGCACCAGTTTGGCAGCAAATCCTGATGAGGCATTTTCTGCATTCAGAGTTTTTCAATCAAAGTTCCTTTCTGAAGCTGGGAGAGTAGGAAAGGACAATTTTTTCAGTATCAGTTTGACACAGTGCCTAAATGAGTTAAAATACTTAGGAAGACTGTATTATAAACTTAATAATTGTTTTTGTTTTTTAAATACCTTCAGAAATCTCGGAGTCTTTGTCAGCAGGAATAATCATTGACTTTGCAGAAAAAAAAAATTATTTAATGCCCAGTGTATATATTCTGCTGAATTCAGGTTTTTATGTGTCTTATACATATGTAAATTCAGATATAAGGAGTAAATAATTTCCCATGTGCTAAATATAAGATGATGATGACGAAGAGCAGTTGCTGCTAACCTGTGTTGATACATGTGTGTATCTAGACACCTAATATTTGGATTGTTTAAAACCCTCCAAAGACAGTGTGTTTAGTGAAGGAACAGTAGTATTTAAAGAACTGTTTTACTGTTTTCCAAGCTGTCAGTGATTAAGTCTTTATGGGCTTGGGGTTTTTTACAAGTCTGTTATGATTTAAAGCAATTTAAACAGCTTTTATTGTATTAAGACTGGAGTGTCATTTGGAGTGATTGAGGATCACTGAAGTGTCCTTGAGCTGCCTCATAATGGAGGTGTTTATAATACCTGTTACTTCTCCAGCTCTTGTCCAAAATATGGAGAGGAACACTGGGACTTTGCTTCCCTTTCTAAGCTGAGACTGAAGTTCAGTGTGCAGTGGGAATCTGGCAGTGGTTAGACAAATAATTTGTTGAAGAGTGAGGGATAGGGCTTTTCCCTACTTTTAAGCAGTAATATATTGACCAGAATACTGGATTTCTGACTCAGGTCTTACATACAGAAAAAGGAAATGACAATTGGAATGAAAATTATATATTGCTTACATATTATCAGTGTAAATATCTCGTGCAAAACTGAGGCAAAAAGGATTTTTGTTGTCATCACCTCCTGTGTGCACTGTGATAACACCCAGTATCTCCAGAGAGGGCTGTGACCCACTGACAGATGTTGGTACAGTGAAGGGCAGAGCATTGTGTCCAACTTCCCACCAGTAGGGACAGTGCATGGATGGCATGAATAAAAGTCATCTCTTTGGCACATTTAAAGTGAGCAGTCTTAAAGGAAAGGTCATTAAACTGTGACCATTTTGACATGCATTTGTGCTGGTTACCCTTCATAGTTTGGATTTTGATACTGTTCCAAAACAATTATGTTCTACAGCATGTCGTGTATGTATTTTTATATTTGTGGGCTGTAATAAAACACTTTGCAACAAAATCTGAAATACTAAACTTTAATCTTCTTTTCTTTACAGCTATATTTATTCAGCAGTGCCACTTTCTGAGACAGGCTGGCCATTCTGAGAAAGCAGTGTCTTTGTTTCAGGCTCTGATTGACTTCACCTTCTTTAAACCTGACAGTGTAAAAGATCTGCCAACAAGGGGACAGGTAGCAATTTCCATTTAAATGGGTGTGTGTCTTTATGTATTACAGAAAATGCTGTACCAGAAAAATGTTGATGACTTTTTAAGGCCATAAGGAAATATTTTGGATAACAGCTTGCTTAGAGGTTCTTCAAGGTGATGCTTGCATTGAAAACAATGCTTGTGGGTCCTCTGGAACTACAGGCCAATTGGCTGCTTTTACTGTATATAATAGAAGTATCTTTTTTAATAATTAAAATGGAAAAAATGTAGCTAGCTGACCAATGTCTGTGTCTAGCTAGCACTTGCCCTGCTTCTTTTCCCCCAAAATGCTGTTGTTTTGTTACTGGTGATGGAGAGAGCTGATAGGACATAAAATCTTTCAGTTCACACAGTTTTTGCCAAAGTTTCTTAGGTTCTCTGTTACCTGTTTCCATTAATTTGATGGCTACATTAAGAACACTTTTGTGCTTTCAAGTGCCTTTTATTTGACCCATAAGATTTTGTTCAGCTTATACTGGTAAATGTTGAAGTACTAAATCGCTTTTTCTCTTCATTTGTTCGGGAGGATGTTGCACATGCACCCCACTAATAATAAGGAAGTTAATATTTAGTTGCCAGTAGCATCATCCCACTGAACTGTTAGGAACTGTTTCCTTTTTAATGAGTGGTAGAGAGGCTGCCATTTAGGCAGCTGGGCTGCTGTAGAGGATAAAATTAAATTTGCTGCCACTCCCTCACAGTCTTCCCAGAAACTCAGACTCCCGTTCTTGCTCTCTTGATTAGCACTGTTACCCACAAATAGAGCAATCTTACAGGTTAAAAATCAGTGCTGTCTTCTTAAAGAGCTAAAATTTAGAGTTCAGTCATAGCTATAATGGAGTAGTTGCACAGGTACATGTAGTTACAGTTCCAGTCATTTGAAAAACTGCATTTGTAGTTTTTTAAAAATCTTAGAGCAGGATGAAAAGGAACCTTGATTCAAAAGGCCCATGTTTAGGTTGGAAAATGCAGTTCTTGAAAATAGGAAAATGCCAGATTTACAGCTGATCACACATTCTGCTGTGATACAGAAGTGTTATGACTCAGTCTGGAATTACTTGTTTCTGTACTGTTTTCACAGTTCACTTTCTCACTTGCAGCAAAGAATAAATCCACAAGGAGCAGAATTATATTTGGCAGTTTGCTGTAAGCCTGGAATTTTCTCATGTTGGTTTTTCTTGGAGTAAATTTTATTGTTAATATTTGTATTAACAGTCACATCTCAATGTCCAAGCCAAGGGTTGGTAAGCAGCAGAAGCATTTAATAGGTGAGAGATTGTCACTAGAGCTTAGGATACACAAAGCAGAGGAGGAACTGATGAATCTAGAGATGACTGATTGCATACTGGCAGTGACAGTCACCAGGACTAGAATCCTGAACTTCTGATTCACTGGAAAGTGCCCTGACCTTTTTGGCCATCCTTAAACCTGAAGGATTAAAGTCCTTATGGATCTTTTTCTTCTGTCTTTAGTCATATTTATGTGCAACTGTAACATTTTGATTTGACCATAGGTGTGTGATTGAATTATCATTCCATTAGCCAAATTCTTCATGGTCCCATAGAACTTAGGGAGGAGGGGAGTTTTGGGTTCTGAAAGCCACACCTTAGGGACTTTGGATCTTTATCCTTGAAAGATCTATAAAGGACTGTGGGCACAAAAGTATTTTGCTTTCTTTAAAGCCTGTTACCTTTTAAAACAATCTTTATTTTCATGAGAAGAGCTGATGACAGTCCTTATGTGCCACAGCTGTAACTGAAGTACTCAGTTGTGCCTGCTGAATCTTAAGCAGTATCTAACAGAGTCTTCAGATACAGAAATTGTATCCAGTACATGCTTGTAGGGTCTGAGAAACCTAAGTTGACAGAGATAATGTCTGTAGAACAACAACAATTATTTCTCTATATGTTTTCTTTTGGTTGGTCCTGTCAAAAACAATAGGTGGAATTCTTTGAACCCTTTTGGGATAGTGGAGAACCACGAATTGGAGAAAAAGGAGCAAGAGGCTGGAAAGCATGGATGCACCAACAAGAAAAGGGTGGCTGGGTTGTTCTTAAGCCTGGTATGTTGTCACAGTATGTGCAGTTGTATGTCTATGTGTTCTTCTAAACATTTTGATTAGAATGATATAATCTGAGTCTTGCCATGATTTTGCATACAAGTTTTAAAAAATATTTACTGATTTCAAGATAATGTATATCATACCTCACAGGGAATAGCAGGTGTTGCATGTTCTGTGTATGATATTGTTTATGGAGCATTGTTGCCCTTCCTACAGTGAGAATTAGAGGAGGATGCCATATCCTCCTCTTCATGTTGGAAAAGCCAGAGGTGTGAGTACCTGGTGGAGAGTCACACCCATCAAAAGTGAGAGGAAGCTGCTTCCCTTAAGACCCTTTCACCATATTATTAAGGTGAAGTGGGATTATATTGTTAGATGACAGTTGCTTCAAGGATACCTAGATGTATGATTCTATTTCCAGAATCAGACTTTAGTTTCTCAAGCACAGGTATAGCTAAGATAGGAGGAAAACATTTCCTTTCTTGTCGTGATGCAGAAAATGAAGGAATTGTGTCTTCACTTGGCTGGAGTGCTTCTGGATGAGCAGGGATGCAGAAAACACTCCCTGCTGCTTAGCCTCACCTTGTCTTGTGGTCTACAGTGCTTCTTTTCATGTCAAGGACTATTTCTCATGCAGATACAGCTTGCAGGGAAGCAGGAGGCTGGAATGTGTCTGACCAAAGATGAACTGTCTTTGCTTTTGCTACTCCTGCTGTAGCAACTCTGGTGAAGCAAGTTTGGGTCTGCTTTTAGTAAACAAAGGAACTGAAAGATAATTATGTGCCTCCCTTGTCCCTGGATTAAGATGGAATTTCCTTGGCCCCTGAGTTCAGCAGTTTTATTTTTGATGGCTTTAGGCATTTTGTTCACAAACTGAGAAGAGTGAGTATAGAGAAGAGGACCACTGCCAGTCTTGGGCAGCTCCACTGGTTTCCCCATATGTGTCAACCCCTAAAGTCCAGGTGCAATTTTCAATTGAGTGTGTTCATTAAAAACTGTCAGGTTTCTTCACACTTTGATTAGATTGTTGAAATGCTGTCTTTTTTCATAGAGTTGCTGACTAAAGGGGATATTTTTGATCACAAAAATATAGAGAGAGTAAAAATCTTGCAACCACCTGTTTGTTTTACCTGAAATTTAAGAAGAACTGGGATTGGGAGTGTTTCAGATGGCAGATGTCAGGATCAAGAATTTGGAGGTGGTGTAGAAATAGCTTGATTTTTATAATGCAGGCAACCATCAAATTTTGAGGGCAATTTTTTTCCTCAGCAATAAAAAGAAACATCTCTACAAGCTTTCCCTTGCCTATAGGTGCTCATCAGTTTCTGCACAGAATTAATATATTGCTGTCAGAGAAAAATATGATAATTGTATCCAATAGTCCAGAAAGATCATCATAAAGGTGGGGTGTGGTTAAGCACATCCTTTAGAGTGTGTGTGTGTAACTATGTGGGTTGTTTCAACTGTACATTAATTAAAATGTTGAAAATACTACTTGTTATAAAGCAACATGGCCAAACTTCTTTTGCAGTGTTTAATATTAAAATACCATTTTTCATGTTCAGTGGTTTTCTCAAAATGTTTTATCCAAACTAGTATTGATAGAGCATACTTGAAATTTTATGCTCAGGTATGAAGTGAAGAATGTAAATTGCACAAAAGGATGACTGACTCTTGGCTGTTGCTTGCAAGTTGCTGTTGATAAAAGTGCTCCACAGCCTGTCAGTGTTTTTTCTTCTCCTCTGTGAAAAAGTTTGAGTGCTGACACTGATTCACAACTTCTAAAAGTTTGGAAGCTTTCTACCTTCCTATTACAGAGTTGGTGTCAAAACCCAGAACTGTGATGTGGAAAATCTCAGCTAAGTCTTGTGTGTGTTTTTTTATTAACTATATTTATTTCCATTGTTAAAGTAGTTAAAGTGTATGTCATGCCTGGCCTTTGGATTTGGTGGGATAATTTTTCTTTAATAATTTTGTGTGTGTACATATATTGATTTGATTTTAGAGGATGAGGATGAGGAAGACATAGATGAAGATCAAGAAATAAAAGATAAAACTCTTCCTAAGTGGCATATTTGGTTGGATATTGAATATTCCCGGGAGGCAAGGCACTGGTTACCTTGGAGGCCAGACAAAACCAAAAAGGAAACTGAAGAAGATTGTGAAGATCCAGAAAGACAGGTCACTGTGATAAAATAGAACAAGGGGAGATGATAATACTAGCTATACTTTAATTTTAATTCATTGCCATGTTTGTGGATATTTTAGAAGAATAATACTTTTCTTTGTTTAGAAAAAAGATTTTTTTTCTTTGAAATTCAAAATTTGCCTGAGGTTTTATGCTGAGACTTCTGAAAGCCATGGGAGGCTCATGGTAAACTTTAGAAAGTCTGCAGGCAAAATAGTCTGTCTTTGCTGTTCCATGATTCCTGTCATCTGTGTGGAGAAATCTCACAGAAATATGTGTTTAAGAAGAGATGTGCATTAAATAAACAAAGGTTTCATTGCCTTCAAGTCAGATAGTTGGATATTTTTTATTCCTTGGGAAATAGGTCAAGTCAGACATTGATTTTCAAATTTGAATGTGTTAAAAGGCCTATGAATAAAATCTTCCAGACCTTCATTTTGTAAGTTTTCTGTGGAGGTCTTTGTTGTTCACAGGCAAAGAAATCTCTTGATAGCAAATTTACAGACTGACTGGAAAAACAGATTGTTTGTTTAACTTGTCCATTTTTAATTTGAATGACATTTTGATACTATTTAATGGTAATTCTGAATGCTATTGATTTCAGAAGGTTCTTTAATTGCATAAATTGTTTAATTGCATAAAGTTTTGCTGCTTTTGATTGCATAAATTAATGGAATTTGTTTTAATTTGGATTTTTTTAGGTGTTATTTGATGATCTTGGACCATCTTTAATCCGTCTTTCTAATCCAAAGCTTCAACACCAACTGCTGTACTCTTTTTTGCAATTCCTGGGAGTTCCATGTACAAGCAGACTCTTTCCTTCCAGTCTCTATATTGCCATGGATGAAAATAACATCTTTGACAGTGTGCTTTACGATGATAAACCACTGACTTCTGTGGATTTTCCACTTTCTGGATTCAACAGTATTGGTCATATGGATACGATGTCACGAGGCAGACATCAGATAGGACACTATAAAGAAGGAGAGGAGTTCATACAGAATGTCTTCCATGTTCTGTCCCAGATATTTACAGGAAAGGAAAAATCTAACCTGGCCATTTGTTGGCTACAGTATGAAATATCTAAGGTAATGAGGAGTCTGCATAGAATCAATGTTGTGATGTGTGGCTTTCTTCTGTAATAATGTTTATATTGAATTTTAAAAAGTCTTGACAAAAGTTTCTTGCAGGACTAAGTATTCAAATCAGGAAATATCAGTTAAGATTGCACAAGGGGGGAAAAAAAGAAAACCAAAACCCCCTTTTCTTCAGTACATGTTAAAGAGTGGCATACCTGTAGCAAACTATTTTTTGAAGTTTTGCATAAATGTTATTATATGATAATATATAATTTTGTAATTATATTATAAAAAATTGCTGTGAGGGCTTTTTTCTCCTTTCTGCTTCCATCCCTCTCAAAATATACCCTGTTTATTTTTCCCTGCAGGTAATTCAGTGTCTCCAAGCAAAAAAGAAAAAGAAGCTAAAAGCACAAGGGAGGAAGAGTAAAAAGTTGGCCAAGAATTTCCTTAAAGCACCTGACAACCGAAACAACCTTTCTCTCTGGAAGCTCTATGCCTACCTGGAGTGGCTGCTTGGTAACACAGATGATTCCAGGAAGGTGTTTGACACAGCTCTTTGCACAGCAGGGACAGGAGGATTGAAGAGTGCTCAGCTCTGCAGCCTCAGCCTGCTGTATGCTCAGCTGGAAGTGGAACTGCTGGAAAGTTTGGAAGGAGCTGTCACCTCTCGTGCTGTTCATATATTGACCAAATTGGCTGAAAATGGACCATATGTGCCCTATAGTGGACAAGTGTCACCTGTCAATGTCTTGAAAGCTCGTAAAACATATGAGCATGCACTGCAAGAATATTTAAGTAAAACAGCACTTTCTGATCAGGATCAGGCCAATGATACTGATCAGCTGGTTAACCTGGTTGGTTGTTATGCACTGTTTCAGTATTTGACTCTTGGGATTGATGCTGCAGTATTAATATATACGCAGGCTTCAGAAAAACTTGAAGTTTCTGGTTCACAGAAATGTGAAAATACAGGAGAGAATTTTGGTATTCTAAATTTTCCCAGTGCTCTTGAAGCTGTCACACTGCTGCATACAAATTTACTGAGATTCCACATGAAAATCAGTGTTTATCCTTTGAATCCCCTGCGAGAGGCACTGACAGAGGCTCTGAAACGGTATCCTAGCAACCAGTCCCTTTGGAGGTCATACATCCACATCCAAAGGAAGTCTCACTGTGCCAGCAAAGCACGAAGATTTTTTGATAGTGTCACAAGGTCTACTAACTCTTTAGAGCCATGGCTGTTTGCAATCCAAGCAGAGCAGATGAGAAAAAAGCTCACAGAGAAGGTCCAAAGGTAACACCTTGCAGCTCCTTACAATTATGCTGTTTTGAATCTGTCTAATCACTCAGCAGAGGAGAGAAAATGCTATCACAGTTCTCATTTTGCAGGTGAAGAAGCTGTAGCTGCAAGAGCCGTAGTTCCAGCTGTTGCTGGAGGTTTTTTGCTCCAGGCTGAACAGGGAGTCAGTGGCAGAATCTTGAACAGAATAAATGCCCTCAGTGACAGCCTTATGTCCTTTCTCCTGAGCCAGATTGTGTTTGAGTTTGTTTGATTACTTCCTACTAATATCAGGATGGTACACATTAATTTAAAGAATTTTTAAATAACTAAGCCTGCTTAGATGGCAAAGATAGACAGTATGAGCTTAGAAACTGCTGCATTTTAATACTACAGCAATAAAGAGCATAATACAGAGCTATGCTGCACTTCCTGCCTGAGCTGGCTGCCCTACTTTACTCCTGAATCACAAATACAGTTGTGGCAGATCTGTTTCCATAGTGAGTCCTTGAGAGTTTAGTTTTCGTGTGGGGCTGTTACTAGGTAGAAGAGGCTGGAAATTCCATGAATTCACAGTGGTCTGGGCTCAGATTTTTTGCTCCTGAGAAAGGAGGAGCAAGGTACATGTTCATTCTGAGAGCTTAGTCTCTTGTCTTCTCAACGTTTGGAGCTGCCTTTCCACTGCTGCCTACTGCAATATCTGCAGTGACATTGACAGCTTGGTTGTTTGTGTCTGCACATGACAGCAGATATCTAGGAAACAGTTACATGGAAGTTTTACAGGGCTGTAAGCTCACAATATTCACACATGGTGAAATTACACAATACTTGGAAATGATGATGTATCCACTTTGGTTGCTGTAGGCTGACAACAGGCATTCAGACATGATAGTGACGTTCTGAACTGTTAGTCTGTGTCATCCTAAATTGTTATAAGAATTCTACAGCCACCGAATGTAAAGGAGGATTGTGATTTGATTTACTGTTAATTTCAGACTAACACTGATAGGTTTTCATTATTGTTACTTGGAACTGAAAATTTCAGAACTGTTTTCTCAGTGAGGTTGAGTTCCTTTCCAGATTATTCACTGCTAGCAGAGCCTTTCCTATAGATTGTATTTATAAAGGACAAGTTGGGTTTTGCAAGAGCAGAGCTGAGCTACTGCAACAGGGAGATAAGTGGCCTGTCAGTCATGCATAAAACTAATGTTTTGTGATGTTGTGACAAAATTAGAAAATGTCTGTGTTGTGTCTGTCTATTTCATATTCTGGTTGTATTTCTCCTTAAGCACATGGAATTCAGATGAAAAAATGGGCACAAAGGTTAAAACAGGAATGTTTTTAAGTCACTGTTAGGTACAAGGCTTCAAATGTTTGACTCATGCAGAGTAGGTTACATAATTTTCCCTCATGGCAAAGGTTAAGATGAGGGGAAACTTACTTCAAAGACACAAGGAAAGAAAGAGAGAGGTTAGGAGCCGGGTGTTACTGGTGAGTGGAGCAAGCTGGCAGGCTGAGAGAGCATGTACAGACCAGTGATGTTGCCATCAGTGCTCCAGCCTGTTTTGTCAAGCTCAAGCATCAAAAGTAAGCCAGTCTGTATCAGCTGTTGAAGGAAATCAGTGCTTTGGTGAAAACTGCTTTTGTGTTCTGCCTGGAACTTATGGAATTTGAATCTCTGGGTGAAAATTACTGTTATAATTATGGTTGAAATTCAGAGTTGTCATTTTGACCTTGATCAAAGACCAATGTATGGCATTACAAAAGTGATGGGTAAATTTGAACAAACTTGCCTGGGCACCAGAAGATGTGCTGATCCAGACTTGAATTTCTTTTGAGCTGCTCTGCCAAGCTTAGAATGATAAATTATCTCGGAGGCAGGCTAAGATGTTTTAAGATCATATGATAGTGGATTTTTATTTTCAAAGAGAAATTATTTTTGAACATACTACATGAATTTTCACCAAAATACTGGATTTATATTTTTTTCCTAATTTTCCTATTTAGAAATGTGTTGATTGCATTAGCAAGTGCTAAAAATCTGGTTTATACCATTGAGTTTATAGCACACATTGCAAAAAAACCTGACTATAAATGGTGCTGTGAACAGAGGCAGTGCATTGTTCTTTACCTCTTCTTACCCAGATGTGGTCCCTTGGCTTGGGTTTAAAGGACTGTTTGTTCTCTGTGTTTCAGGGCAGATGTTGGTGAAATACATTGTACTATTCCTGAAACTGGATTAACAAACCGGATTGTAGCTCTGTTTGAACATGCAGTTCAGAGTGAAAATGGTACCCATTGTCCACTGCTATGGAGAATGTATTTGAACTTCATGGTAAGAAGAAAAATATTTGTTTTGTTTTGTTTTGCCGTATTTGGAATTCTCATAAACACAGCTGGAATACTGCTTAGAAAAAGGAATACTAAATGCTGCCATGCCTCTGTGATTTGCAGGGTGATATATTTGACTTGTACTGCTCCTTATTGTTGGGAACATTAGGGAGAAGGTAATTCATGTGGATTAGGAGTAATAGCTTCTGACAGTGTAGTCTTAATATAGATGCAGACATTGTGTCTGTCATCTTACATAGATAAAAAGAAAGTATGTCCTGAGATACCAGTATATGTCAAGCTGCTTTCCAGTGGAGTGGACTCCAGTGTAAATTGGGTGCAGGAATTTGCACTTCCTGTAGAACTTGGAGGTTTCTGTCAGCTGATTCCTTCCTCCCATTGCCATCCCTCTGGAGACCAGCCACTCCTCTCAGTTCTGTGTGGTCTGCAGGCTTGCTGAGGGTGTACTCTGCACCATTAGCCAGATCATTAACAAAGGTGTTAAATGAGATTTGTCCCAATAGTACCGGGGCACTGCTAGTCACTGACCTGTAACCAGACTTGTTCCACACATCACCACCCTCTGGAGACAGTTTTCTCACTGTCTGTGCATCCAATTCTTTTGTCAGCTGCTCACTTAGGAGGCTCTTGCAGGAGATGGTATCAAAGGCCTTCCTGAAGTCCAGATTGACAATGTCCACTGCTCTCCCCTTATCCACCAGGCCAGGCATTTCATCATGGCAGTTTATTGAGTTGCTCAGTCATGACTTTCAGTGAATTGACACTGCTGCTGATTTTCTTCTCACTCATGTGCCTGGAAATGGTTTCCAGAGTTAGCTGTCCTGTCACCTTGCCAAGGTACAAGGTGAGGCTGACCAGCCTGTAGTTCACTGGGTACATCTTCTTCCCCTTCTTGAAAGCAGGAGTGATGTTTTACTTTCTTCAGTCTTTGGGTCCTTCTCCCAGTTGCTGTGATCAATCAAAGATTGTCAAGAGTGACCTCTCAGTGACATCTGCCAGCTCCCTCAACACTTGAGGTGCAGATCATATGCAAAATAAATGCATGGTAGGCAAAACATAGCTATAGCTTCTGTAATTTGCCTTCAATTTTGACAGTCTTTTGATTCTTAAAAGCTGCATATAAAAGTTACATTAACTGGCATTGCAGTTTAATGCTGAAAAGCAATAATGTTTGTTTCTTCCATAGTTCCCCATGGAAGTACAGAAATAAAATCATATAGTCAGCTTTGCCATCTTGGTTTTCTTGCTTCTCCAAAGTACAATATGGAAGATGAAAACACTCAAGTAATAACTTGCATTCCCCAGTGTTACTCTTCTGTTCATGTCCCCTGGTGTAATAAGCTGTGAGAGGGGGATCAGCAGTCAGAAGGCTGTGAAATAGAGAGGAGGCAGGAGAAGAAGAAATCTTGTTCTGTGTTTGAGAAGATCTCTTGTGTGGGACTGTTAATTGTGACCATTTCTACACAAATACATGCTTGTAAATATGTTATGCAACTTTGTATGTAGGAATGTAGAACTGAATTACTGTTATTCTTTACAAACTAATAATGACACCCCAGTATGCACAAATGCTAAAGATCAGCCATTATGTATTTTATCACTAGTGCTTCATTCATGGAAGATACCTTTTCCACAAGAACAACTAGGAGTATTTACTAGATGCTAATAAAATGGAAGCAAATACAGTAATAGCTTGGAATAACATTATTTAGAGAAGCAAAATCAATCAGAAACATTTACATTTTCAGACATAGTCATCAAAGAAGTTGTGATTGTTTGATATTACTCTAAGGTCTATAGATCTGTGTTTTTGCTGATGAAACATAGGTTTGGTGAGTGGACAGGGGTGTGGGCTGGAATCTGCCTGAACTGCTAGGCTCAAAGGCCTCAGTCAGCAGCAGGAACTGCAGGCCAGCCACTGGTGCTGCCCCCCAGGGATTGATACTGGCACCAGTGCCCTTTAGCATCTTCAGTAATGATCTGCATGATCAGAGAGTCTGTACCATCAGCAAGTTTGCATCACCAAACCAAGAGGAGTGGCCAAAGCACCAAGTTCTGCTCTTGGTCTGTCCAGGTTCCTTAGAATAGCTGGGAGTCCTTGTTCTCTTCCTTATCTTACAAGTAAAGCCTTGAAACTCCTGTAAGACATCTGAAGAGTGTAACCTGATAAAATACATAGCTACTACAATGTAGAATAAAAATGATTTCTCAACAGAAGAACACTGAGCTTTTCAGCAATCATTTCTTTGGCTCAGAAGTAATTGTTTCAGTATTTCAGCTATTACTGCACTGAAGTATGAATGTCTTTTTATCACACAGGCTTCACTAGGAAAAAAAGAAAAAAGTAAAGGATTATTTTATAAAGCTCTTCAGAACTGTCCTTGGGCAAAGGTAAGCACAGAAAACAGGTAAACTTGTCATCATACTTTAATTTTTGAAGTTCTGTATTTGAAAAAAAGTTTAGCTTTAGTAGTTGTTGTAAGAATTTATATGCAAATGAAAGAAGAGGTTTCTGAGGATGTAATGTTAGGATTTTCTGCAAATAAGAGATGTATCTTCAATGGAAACATGATCAGTAGTCACTGCAGTTTGTGTTCAGGACAGAAAGGTGTTGCATTGAGGCATGGCAGTAAGAAATCCTTTGTGATGTAGAAATGATTGAGTCTTTCAGACTTTTATCATGAGCATGGGAGTATCAGAAATACATAGCTAAATAAAAATTTATTTATGTAATAATACATAAAAATTATTGAGAGAACCTGCAACTCCTCAGGTAATGTCTGTATTTGCTGCAAATGCTCCAGTGTCTTGACCTCCATTTTATCTTTTTGAATAAAGTTTCTCAGTACAAGTTTGAGAAGACTTGATTAAACATCTACTTGGCTGTCACTGAAGGAGTGCTAATTGTGTTCCTATTACCTTAAATAATACATGCTATTTCTTATGTTCTTGCTACAGAGTTGTTGCTGTCTACTCACTTTAAACTGTGTTTCTTGCTAGAAAGGTAGCACAGAAAATGTTCTCACTGTCTTTCCAGGTGCTCTACATGGATGCAGTCGAGTATTTCCCTGAGGATCTGCAGGAGACACTTGATCTAATGACTGAGAAGGAATTGAGAGTGCGGGTGCCTATGGAAGAGCTGGATCTACTACTGGAGATTTAAAAGCTGCAGAAGTACAGAAGCTGCTTCCAAAGCTAATAACTAGATCCATTTTCATCCAGGAACTCTGTTGGGACTTGGGTACTATGTACTTGGCATTTTTTTGTTGTTAAATATTTTATATAAATTCCTATCAAAATGGAGTTCTACTACCTGCAAGTCTTCTGGAATCAAGAATTGCATTTTGCCCACAATAATGGATCCATTTCTCTGCAGCATTGCTGGCTCCTGCAGAAGGACAGGCTCTTTAAATAGCCTCCTGTTGGAAGTTGCCTGCATTTCTTCCTCTATTGTTTAAAATTACATTCCCCAGGGCTCAGTAGAGGTTCAGTACATGCCAACTATGGCTTGATGAGCAGCACAGGAAATAAACATCTGCCAGATGGATGCTCCACTGTCCTCCAATTGGCAGACTTCAGTAATTTCCTTCAGCATGGTGTGGCTGTGCATATGCAGCTGCCAAGTCAAACAGCCATTACATCTGTACATATATTGTAAAAGCTAAATTTTTGTTTGAGCAGGCACCTATTTTGATATGTTTTGACAGATGACCATTTAAATGTAAATCTTTCTGAAAAATATACCTGAATATTTGAAAATTCAAAAGTAACTTGTTTCTTATGTATTAAAAATAGAACTGAGTGTATTAAAAATGAAAATGTGTCCATAATGCATCTCTAAGCAGCTCACTTCTAAACAAATTTTTGTAATTAATTACTGGCTTTGACTCAAGTCCAGGCAGTTGTTGTAAGAGAAGCAGAGGTTTGATCTGTATTTGATTCTCATCAAGAAGGCATAGTCTTCTATGATGATTTTAAAAGGAGCTTCTAGTCCATGAGGCTTTTAGCAAGCTCCTAGAGAAATAGTATGAAATATAGTAACAATTTACAGATACAGTTATGTTATAAATTTATTTTGTAAAACAGAACATGCTGAAACATGGAAAGGATTGTTTAGCATCCTTACTCTTGAGACCCAAGGATTCAGAAACTGGATTTTCATCTGAAACAAGTGTACCTGCAGCCACAGAATACCCTCAACTGCTTCAGACAGTTTTCATGAGATAACGAATTGTCACTAGCAGCACTAAAGCAACTGGGACCATCCAGCTGGTGAGATCCTATTGCACATGAAACTGTGTCTGAACCAAGCCACACAACTTCTAGCTTGGGTTTGCCACCATGGTACAAGATAGAATACACTTTAGTCCAGGCTGCATTTCATTTATTCCTTTCTAAAATTATTTTAAATATTGCAGGGAATATGTATAATTTTAAATGGCATTTCAGCACTTCTGAAGAGCCTTATAGTATTGATGTAGTTGCAAGTGATGCTGGTTTTGCTGTAATCAATTAGTCTTTGTGAAAAATACAGTTTATTTTTTAAATCTTTACTTTCTACAAAAATGACAGAGCTCCTGAATTGGAGGTAAAGTTACTCTGTACCCTGCACAGTAACAGGACAAATTATGCCTGTGTTTGTTAATGCTTCGCCATCACAGCAGAATGCCATTTCCTCTAAAGCCCTGAAAGGGCCATGGGGAGGGAGAGAAGCTTGATTGTGCTCCTGCTTAGTCACAGAGGAACCCAGGTTGAGAGGGACCTTGAAAGATTATCTGGTCCAACCTTCTGTAGCACAGGGAGCCTGCATGAGATTAACAAGCTCTGGCTGCAGGCACATTTGAAAACTTCCAGTGATGGCAGCCATGGCTTCTGTATCCATCACTCTTCTGTTCTTCCATGCATCCTGTCCCAAGTCCTTTCCTTTGCAGTTTCTCCCAAAGCAGCATTTGGGCTGCTTCCTTCCTTTTGATGGTCAGAGGCCTCCTGGAGCAGGTCCTGCCTTTTAATTCAGTCCCCAGTAGCTTTCCTGTCCTTGTGAGGAATATACTTGCTGTTCACTTTCTCCTGATATTTATTACTTTTGTATTGTCAAGTTCAGAAACTCTGGCAAAAGAGGCAGCAGTTAAATTCTGCTGCAAAAGCTAAGAGCTGAATTTTCAAACGTGTGTTTTTCAGTTCCTGGGGTGGCAGACAAGGTACCAGAACAGAGTCCTTGGGTTCATTTAATGCAATGCAGCTGTTCTTCAGGGAGCTGAACCCATCTCTTTGTGGCTGTTGCTTTGAGGCAGCAATAACAGCCATGTCCCTATCAAAGTGCCTTGCTTGCCATGCATGTCATACATCTCTTCAGCCCCTCAAGCAACAGTGAGATCAAGTGCCATGATTAGAAAGTGCTAAAAAACCCCTAGCTTTTTGTGACCTTTCCAAGGAGACAGATCTCCTAAGATTTATAAGAATGGGTAATAAAATTTGTTTTTCTAGCTTCAGATGAAAAACAATTCTATTTCAGGATTTCTGTCATCCAGATTAAATAAAGAATTCCATTCATCTGTAGGGTTCATTTTTAACAATGAGCCACATAATTTTTACAGAGAAGAATAAAATCTCTTGGCCCTGCTGCTGCCATTGTTGTTGGAGCACTGGCAGTGAGGAAAGGCATTGCTCTGGGTGTAACTCTCCACTGTCTGTTACTGGCCTGCATTTGCTCCCACAGAAAGTTCCCAGAACAAAGACTGCACACAATGCAAAACTGGTTTGCATGTGGAACTTTTATATAAACCTTAAAGATCACATGTACAACATTTGGAAATGAATTCCTGAGAACTTAACAAGGCCTTCACAGAAAAGTACTACACAGGACACTTGGTAAGTAGTACCTGCATGGCTACAATGGAGCCAATGGACACCTGGCCCCATTGGAATGGAGCTGGAGGCAACAGAATTGTCCAGGGGGAAGAAATCAAGGTTATGCTGTACAACACCAAGCCTGGCACATGTAGTAAAATTTATCTGTGCACATCTGCTGCATGCCAGACCCTGCACCTCCAGCACTGGGGCTGGTGCCTTAGGAGTGTGCACAACCTCTTCCTATTGTTGGCTCTTTTCAAAGACATTCTCTACCTTGGATGTTTATCTAAGGAACTGAAACCCTTTTGGGAAAAACAAATTTATAAACTCTAATCTTAAAAGTACCCTATCCAAACATGTTTATATGTTTAAGGTAAGATTACTAATGAGCATCCATCTTGCCCTTATAAGCTGCAAGTGCTAGAGATGGGTACCTTTAAAGTTTATCTCACTCTTAACTCACAGTTGCATAATTGTCATTGATTTTCATGTATAAATGACTGATGACACTGAGGTTACTCAAAAGTGACACTTGTCCTAGTTAGCCCCTAAAAAAAGATATAAGAAGGTAATCAAGAACAACAGCAGTGCTAGAGTAGTTGTAAGAGACCATTATGCCTAAGGAGGACTAAGATTTGGAGCACCTGCATTGCTCCCTGCCCATATGGTGTGGGTCACTGAGACAAGCACTTGGGGCACCAGCACTTTTTCTTGAGTCAGTGCATGCAACAGTTTCATGTAAATAGCAGGGCTGTGCCACCAAAACAGCTCAATTCAAATAAATGTTTTATTGGGAAGTGAAAAGTTACACTGACTGAAAACCCACAACCCACCAGCTTTTAACCTGTTCATGAATGCAAACTAGCTGTGTGGTTTTACACAAGACTCTCACCAACACAGAAAGTTCTGTATAGTTCCCAAAGAGACAAGATGACTTAAAGATACAATCCCTCAGGGGTTCCCTCTTGCTTTTTATAGAGAACATTCTCTTTAGACTTTTTGAAATCTTCATTTGTTACTTTCATTCTCCGTTCCCTCAAAGCCATCAATCCAGCTTCTGTACAAATTGCCTGCAACACAGGAAGCAAGAATAGTTACAGTTAGTGTGCAACCCCTTCAAACCACACCCTCAAAGGCATCTTTCCTACTGCTGCAGTAACTGTAGAAGGGAGGCTGTTAACAAAATCTACGTTCTAAAGTTTGATACTGTTCTGTAGCACTGAAGCAGGCTGGATAAAGCCAGGTGAGCTGTCTGAAAGGACAGAGGTAGTCAAGAGTTACACTTCCCTGACAGAAAGGCAGCTTTGTAACAACAGTAATTTCTCTGTGCAAGGACCTACACATCCAGCTGTGTGATCCTTCTGCAGGGAGGTCACAGTTGTGTCATGGTGGTTTAAGCTCACGAGTGTGGTAACTGTAGCAAGGGCTCTATCTGCTTTAAAAAAGCAGACAGGATCGCTGAAGCTTCCTAATATACAGTTGCATTTTTATCTGCCTTGCAACAGTACAGGATAAGTAGCATTTTTAGGAACTATCTTAAGTACTGTTAAGATACCTTGCACAAGATTCCACACTCTCTTTTTAGTTTCTACTTCACTACTTTAAAATTTCATATTCAGGTAACACAGGTACATACTCCTACCAGCACAAGCTACCTCACAATTACAATTTTGATAATTTCCCATTTGTAAAGCAGAGTACCTGATACTCATAAAAGGTATTTTAAACCATCCCACTGTCCCTCGGTGATGTATGCACAGAAAACTGGCAAACAGTTCAGGTGACAATGGTTTTGGATGCAGCAAAAATGAGATTTGATTTTTGCTTTGACGTATAAACAATGGTGATGTGCACTGACCTTAATATCTGCACCACTGAGATCATCTTTTGCCATAATCAACTCATCCAAAGTCACATCATCTGCCAAGGTCATCCTGCTCGTGTGAATCTGAAAGATTCGTTTCTTCGTCTTTTCATCAGGCAGAGGGAACTCTATTTTCCTGTCAATACGTCCTGTGCAAAAGAGAAGTTCAGCCTTAGGTTTTCTGCATGCAGCTGTTGGAAACAGCAGGAAGAACACCTGAAGGGTTTAACTGGCAGTAACTTAAACTGGTACATGTCCAGAGGAGGGCAGTGGAGCTGGTGAAGGGTCTGGAGCACAAGTCCTGTGAGGAACACCTGAAGGAACATCTGGGGGTGTTCAGCCTGGAGAAAAGGAGGCTCAGGGGAGACCTTATCACCCTCTGCAACTGCCTGAAAGGAGGCTGTAGCTGGGTGGGGGTTGGTCTCTTCATGCAGGTAACAGGTCAAGAGAAAATGGCCGAAAGTTCACATGGGGAGGTTTAGATTGGATATTAGGAAAAATTCCTTCATGGAAAGGGTTGTCAAGTATTGGAACAGGTTACCCAAGGAAGGGGTGAAGCTATCCCTGGGTGCTCAAAAGAGGTGTAGAAGTGGACTTGGGGATGTGGCTTAGTGGTGGACTTGGCCATGACACCTTAATGTTGGACTCAATGACCTGAAAGGTTCTTTCCAACCTGAGCACTTCCATGGTTCTTCCTGTCACAATGAATCATGTCTTGGAGTAGAAAGCAAAGTCAGGCTATCTCTTTCAATTCTGGAACAGTATTATCTCCTCTGTACTCTAACAGCACTGGGTTTGAGCTGAGGGGTCCAAAGTTAAGTGATGACAAAACCAGGCCAAACATACCTCAGCAACTTCATACCATGGAGGTATTTCAGCTTATTCTTTTCATCTCTGTGTTGTTTTCTACCTTCCAACTTAACAGACACCACAGACATCCTATGCTTTGGTACATTTTTAGTGGCCATTTAAAAACACTTCCTGTGCCTGCTCAAGCTCAACATGTCTCCCTCACTCAGCCCTCAAATGGCAGGAGTGTGCCAGGTCAGTAAGGAGCAGCCTGCTTTCCCTGCACCAGGATCCAGGCTGTCTCTGGTAAAGCCTAGGTTCTCACCCCTCAAAACACAGGGGGTGCTGCCCTGCCTTCCCCAGGTGCTGCAGGTGTGCTGCTGCTGCTGCACACAGCTGGCTTAATAACTACTTAAAATGGCTGTGCCATCTTAATACAAAGGAAGAATATTCATACTGTTTATGTATATATAAAGGAATTAACACATTTCTTCACTTCCAAAGATTTTTCTCCTATTTAGAAGCTTGTGAATAGGTTCTGATTTCCACAGATGCAGCAGCATAGATGAGATGGTGAATAAGAACAAGTTTGCAGTCTTTTTACCAGCCTGTGTTTGTCCAGTTATGACAAGTCCTTTCACAAGAGAGGTGGCTTAAGCATACACAGCAGGGAAATCCCTTACCTGGTCTAATTAAAGCTGGGTCCAGTGTTTCTATTCTGTTGGTAGCCATGATAACTTTAACATCTCCCCGAGAGTCAAACCCATCCAGCTGGTTCAGCAGCTCCAACATTGTGCGCTGGATCTCTCTCTCACCCCCTGAATTTGAGTCATACCTTTTAGAAAAAAAACATAGTTGGAAAAAGCACTAAGTAACTGGCACAAAGGTGGGAGAGGGGTATTTTGTTTGTAAATATCCATAAGAGATTTAAATAAAAAAATTAATGTTTATCTATATAAACAAAACATAGATTTCCAGAATCGTGTTGTGACATCTAGGTTAAGTAAAGAGACTGAACTATTCTGGTAGCTGGGGAAGGTAACAGCCATCATGTGAAGGAGATCTGGGATTTTTTTCCATGTTTGTTATATATTTGGAAATATCTTCTTCCCACCTAACAAAATCAACATAAAAAGGAAAAAAATCTAATTCTTAACAGCACATACATCCATACATAAGGCAGCAGCTAACACTTTGGGCTGGCAGCACTTTGGGTTGGTGGCCTTGTAATAAATGTGTATTTTTCTTACTTTCTTATTTATTTAAAAAACACTGACTACTTTACAGACTATTTGCCCTGGACCATTCCAACAAACCTACAGAATTTTCAAAGTAATACAGCTTGGATATGGGCTGAACAACAGTTTAGTGGGGCAGAAGCAATGCTTCTCCATGACATACACTGTGTAACCTTCTGTAAAATACTCTCAGAACAGAAGCATTTAGCCACCTACTTGAGAGGCAAACAACAAAAGGATATATTCTATATTAAATATTCTGCTTTAACATTGGATCACTGAATCCAGTTATTGTATATGGACTTGCAGCTAGGCAATGCCATATACACAGTGTCTCTGGTTTTGACACTCTCTCCTGGAGATGCTGCCATGTAACAAGGGAACAGAGGTTATCTCTGATCACGTCTATTTAGTATGACAAGGCTGTGATAAATTGTATTTCCACTGAAGTTACTTGAAGTGCTACAAAGCTTACATCAAAACAGTGTATGCAAATAGCAGCAGAGCAAAGAAAGTGAGTCTCAGTATAGCTGCAAAAGAAGTGTTTTTGTAAAGCTGTGTTTGTTGCTGCCCTGGCGCTCCCCGTGCACTGCACCTCTTGGTGCCGATGGCATCGATCTCGTCGATGAAGACGATGGAGGGCGCGTGCTCCTCGGCCACGCGGAACAGCTCCCGCACCAGCTTGGGGCCATCCCCCAGGTACTTCTGGATCAGCTCGGAGCCCACCACTCTCAGGAACGTTGCTGATGTTTGGTTTGCCACTGCTTTGGCCAGTAAAGTTTTGCCTATTTTTAGTTAGAAAGAAATGTTGTGATTAGTTTGCAGAGAAGGAAAAGAGAAAGAAAACAGTGCCCTAACAAAAGAGTTGTATGAAATTTGT